TACTGTGTGTGTGTGTGTGTATATATATATAGTCTTTTGTCTGTGTCTGGTGAAAAAAATTTCCCTGGAACCTAAACCCCCCATTTACATTAATTCTTATGGGGAAATTGGATTCGCTTAACATCGTTTTGCTTAAAGTCGCATTTTTAAGGAACACAACTACAACGTTAAGTGAGGAGTTACTGTAGTGAGGAAGGGAATAGGACAAGGAAAGAGGGAAAGGAGAATAGTCACAGCTTGTCACCTGCTTCGATATGAAAGCTGGGTTTTGTAGACATCATAGCAGAGGCAAGTCTCACAGAAGGATTTAAAGTAGGGCCGTCAATTAGTCTCAGTTAACTTATGTGATTAACTCCAAAAAATTAATCGCGATTAATCGTAATTTTAATCGCACTGTTAAACAATAGAATACCAATTGAAATTTATTAAATATTTTGGATGTTTTTCTACATTTTCATATATATTGTATTCTGTGTTGTAATTGAAATCAAAGTGTATATTATTTTTTATTACAAATATTGCAATGTAAAATGATAAACACAAGAAACAGTGTTTTTCAATTTACCTCATACAAGTACTGTAGTGCAATCTCTTTGCTGTGAAAGTGCAATTTACAAATGTAAATTTTTTTGTTTTTACATAACTACACTCAAAAACAAAACAATGTAAAACTTCAGAGCCTGCAAGTCCACTCAGTCCTACTTCTTGTTCAGCCAGTCGGTAAGACAAACAAGTTTGTTTACATTTACAGGAGATAATGCTGCCCTCTTCTTATTTCCAATGTCACTGGAAAGTGAGAACAGGCATTTGCATGGCACTTTTGTAGCTGGCATTGCAAGGTACTTACATGCCAGATATGCTAAACATTTGTATGCCCCTTCATGCTTCAGTCACCATTCCAGAGGACATGCTTCCATGCTGATGACGCTCATTTAAAAAAAAAATGTGTTAATTAAATTTGTAACTGAACTCCTGGTGGGGAGAATTGTTTGTCCCCTGCTCTCTTTTACCCACATTCTGCCATATATTTCACGTTATAACAGTCTCAGATGATGACCCAGCACATGTTGTTCATTTTAAGAACACTTTCA